TGTGATCCTTGGATGGATAACTGTTAAGGCCTGCAGTGTCTCCATCCCTGGGAAGCTAGCATTGCCCTGCCCATTTCCCATCATGCAATGGTCCAATGGTAAAATCTGTGGTGCCCTCTTGGAAGTGCGCAGTAGCTAAGTAGACCCAGAGGAATAATTCAGTCATCCCAATGACAGCTTTGCCCACAGCCCATGAACTTGGCCAGTGGTGTGGTGTTCCTGGGCCTGCTCTGCACACAAGACTTGGGACAGTTCAGGTGCTGTTGTAGCAAAAAATGCCATCCCCACTCTGCCAGGATACTTCAGTTCATTAGTTGCCCAGGTAATAAACAGTTCCTGTTCGAGTTTCCATTGTTTCTGTCTCTTAGAAACTGCTGGTCACTGTGACGCACATTGTATAAACCTCTCCCCACTTGACAAGCCTTTCTGCCTCTGTACGTCCTGCTTGCTTGTCACATACAAGTCCTAGACCGCCAGAGATCAGAGCCTGATATCCTGGGAGAGATGCCTGATGTCAATAGATCTGCCTCCGGACCCTGGTGTGCCTTCAGTGCTTCTGCAACACTGTCCCCGGTGGTCCTGGGCGGGGTATGTGCTGCTCCTGCCACCCCTGAAGCTGGCTGCCTGCAGTGCAGCAGGTTAGAAGGGGAAGCACTCACAGAGTCAATCATTTTTTCTTTTTTGAGATAAGGTCTTCCTATGTAGTTCAGGCTAGTCTCAAACTCACGAAGTAGCCAAGGCTAGCCTTGAACCCCAGGTGGTCTTCTGACTTCAGCCTCCCAAGTGCTGTGTTTATACAGGTGCGCACCTCCACACCCAACGCAAGCCAACTATTCACTGATACCAAACCCTTGACTAGAGACCCAGATTTGTACTAATGCAGATCTCGGCTGGACTTGCAGATCTGCCACCTGTTAGCCTCACTAGAGGTCCTCGGTCATTCTGTGATATTCTTCTCATTTGTGTTTCTTTTCAAGATTCCCAGGAAAAGCTCCCATCCCTGCAATCACTTGTACGTTCTACCGAGTCGTGCAGTTTGCTGCTAACTGCAAACACAGAAGACATCAAACATGGCCTCCTCCAGCCAGGCTTCACTCCAGTCTTTCTCCAAATCTGCATCTTCTGGTTTTTACTCTCTTGGGGAGACAATGTCCTTCTGGGTGTCCCTCCACCTGGTGGAAGGGGTCTGTGTTCCTTCACTCTCTGCATGACCTTGAGCTTGTGCCTCATGGTCACCCCACTCCTTTGCCATGGGCTGACCAGACCAGGAGCTGGCCAGCTTGAGCCAGCCCATCTTTCTGTTCCTCCACTGAACTCAAGGCATGTAGGTCCCTTTCCAGAACAGCCGCATGACAAAACCCTTTTCCTTGCTCTTTCTCTACTATTAAGATGACAAGCTTTTACTCCTAGGTGTTGTGTTTCTGACTTGTCTACTCAAACTTTAAGGTTCCTCAAGGAGTTTTCCAGAAATCTCGATGCCCAGGTCCTTTGCCAACTGATGCTCCCAGACCCAGGGCTCGGGGGAGTGGATTGCTAACCCTTCAGGCTTTGTCTCTACACAGCCCAGCTTTGGTGTGCAGCACAGGCTGGGTAAACACTTCCAGTTGCTGGCTGAGGGCCCCTCACATTGGTGTCACAAGCTTTGGCAGTGACCTGTAGGTTTGTTCTCTTCCTGTCTTCCCTCATCCAGAAGGCCAGAGCTCCTGTTTTCCACACCCCCTCTGCTGTTCCAGGTGTCAGAACACCTGCACTGATGTACAGCAGCCCCTGGTCTTCTCCACCTGCACCCTGATCTCCAAGACCTCTGGGGATGAGGCCAGAGCCAGTGCTGGTTTTGCTTTGCTCTGCTGCCTACTGCACAGGCAACTTTACAATCCGTTTATCCACCCCTCTGTTAAAGCTCTCACTTGCTGTCCGTCAGCAGACACTACTTTCTACCTCAAACGTTGCTTCAGACTTCCAAACCCTGTCTTTGCTTTGCCTCTGGAGATCCTGAGATCCCTTAAAACCCCATGAGGATGCTGCTCATCCAATTTCCATGTCTGCACTGACAGTACCCTGTGTCACTGGGCATGTTCTCTCTTGGGCTGTCTTCTCAGTGTCCTAACCAGGCTATAGGAATGTTGAGATCAGGGTGGTATTCTGCTTACTGTCATGTTTATATGCACTATGGTCCCTAGAATGACCCAGTGTCATCTTTCATTTGACATCTACATTTTTAGGACAAATTTAAATATTGAGAGGGAGTTATTTCCTGTTGCATACATGAGTTACATATTTTCATTAGGATGTTGTGATTCTAAGTACGATTCCTTTAATTTATGGAAAATTTCTTCTCTATAAGTAATTGGCAAAGCTAGGGTGTTTTCAAATCAGAAAAATAGCCAAATCACATTCAATGAAAGAAAACATGATTTTATTTTAAAAACCAAATAAATGTGGCTCCAATTCTTAGCCGCTTTACCCGGACTCTGGATGCAGGCGGGCAACGGTCATCTAGCTGCCCTCCTCCACTGGCTTCTTGCCATCCTATAGCAGGGATGCTTCTGCTTTGTCCCTCTTTGTACCTTTGCCTGTGTCCCTTGAGGCATCTGTACCTTGGGGCAATGTGGCATGAGATCTAGCTTGCTGGTAGCATAAAGGGCAGGTAGGCTTGGGAAACCGACCACTGCCAGGTTTAAAATGCATAAAAATGGAAGCTGGAGTTGAAGAAATGGAGAGCAGACTTCCGCCCTCCACAGCCTTGGATCCGAGACTGCACCGGAGGCGTGATGGTCATTACCTCGGTTGCCAGCACAGGGCAGTGCTCAGACCTTTCACATGGCTGGCCAGACCTGGCCAGGCTTTAGGAAACTTGCCTCCCACTTAGGAGAAAAATCAAGTGTCATCCTGGTGCTTCACGGAGTCCAAGGTTCTTACAGTGAAGCCTCTTAGCATGATGTGGTTTCCCCAGAAGAAAGATCCACCAAACTCTCAGACCCCTTAAAAACAGCCACGACTCACATTGGTAGGTGTTGGGGACCCTCCCCGGGGCAATGGGTGGAAGAGCTTCAGGGACATCCTGATCACTGAGTTGCCTGTGCAGCGAGCTCCCAAAGGCCCAGCAAGGGTCCACTTAATTCCAGGGTGTTGCTCCACTGTTTACACACAATGTAAACAGCCACTGCTGTTATTACTGCCAATGATCATAATCATAATCTCTGCCCATTTAATTGGTGCCTAGCATGTCAAGGCAGAGCACAGAACTCATCATTAGACAGTGAACCCTTCCTATCTTAAGAGTTGGAGCGTGCGCTGGTGATTTTACGGGTATCCTGCCCAGTGTGATGGTGTCTACAAATAAAACAGCCGTTCAATTCCAGTTCTCACAGCGGTGAGTCATTTAGTTGTTCTGGGGGTCAGTTTGGCCTGAAAAACAGCAATGTCAAGAAGACTGAACAAGTGCAACTTTGGGGAGCACTGCGCTTACAAGGTTGGGAGGAAACTCATTCAAACGAGCCTGAAGTTCCAAAGGAGGTCTGTGTATACTCGGGCTAAACTTCATCTGCTCCAAAGCAAGCCTGCTGTGCAGCGCATTTGCAGCATGCACCCTAGCTTTGCAGGTAGGCCCCCAGCCTGCAGCCTTGGGCTCCCGGGCTCAGGGTCAGAGCCTGAGCAAGCAAGGGGTTGCCATTCCTGACGTGGGGTTGGGGGTGGGGATGGGGATATGGGGTGGGGGTCGGGGTGGAGTTGTGGGAGTTGGGCTGGGGGGCTGGCGGCCACATTTGTCCAGGTTTTATGTCTTCTTGTGTGCTGTTTCTTAAAGATGTAATATAAATGTGTCAAAGCTTGGAGGGAAAGCCTAAACATTTCTAATAGCTGATCTCTTTCATCTCATGGGAAGCAGGAAGCTATTCCACATCAGCCCTGGAGGAGGAGCTCTTGCCCTCCAGCGCTGTCCACACCTGGCTCCTTCACGCCCTCAGTTTTCTGCCTGGCCTTGCAAACCCAAGAGCTGCTCCTGGAGGGCCCTGGCCTGCACAGGCATCTTGCTGGCCCTCTGGGTCTTTGCCTAGTCCTTGTCCTGAGCCCCTTGGGCACTGATTTCTTATCTTTCTTGTGTCTTGATACTTTTTAAAGAAAATGGTAGCTCACTACATATTAATATTTCTACTCCAACCTGCTGGCTACCTTTCTCTGTTAGTTTCTCTCTCTTTTTGTGTTTTTCAGCTTGCCCCAGGCCATTCTTAGATTATTTCATAAAGAGCTGTATATATTTATTACCAATATCTTAACTTTTGTGTTTGATTACATACTTTGGCCCATCTCTTCTTTTTTCTAGATAGGATACATGGTTTATTAAAAAAAAATTGCATTGGAGTAAATGAGTGACAGTTGGGGAATTTCAGGCTTCCTGCTGACAAAAGTGGGGAAAGACTTGAAAGAATCCATCCTAGAACTTCCCGGGAATTCCAGACTTCAGCAGAGCAGTTGCCACCCCCAGAAACCTCTTGGTACTCTTCCTCCTCCCCCACAAAAGCAGTGCAATGCATCACAAAACCTGCATCCAGTTGCCCCATTTGACTACATTCTTCATGAACTCCTCAGGATTTTGCATGAAAACCCTTCTGAGTTAAAAAGGAAAAAGTGCAATGGAATTTAGCACTGATGGCTACTTTCAAACTTTTTTGAAAAAAAAGGTGCAGCATCAATCTTTGTAGCAAGCTGTAGGAACACTGCCACTTGATAAACGAGGCAGTGAACCAGCTGCGAATGCCCGGGCTATCACGGAAGACTCCAGGGTGCTCGGGGCCAGGAAAGCTGGTCTTTTCCCAGTGAAGTCCCTGGGTCTAGAATCAAGTTTCCAAGAAGCCCTGTTTGGGGCAGTGAACTTCTGCTTTAAAAAGCTATGGAGACTGACTTAAAAAACATAAGTTAACCCCCAGCAATGGTCTATTTCAAATTAACACACAGCTTATATAATTTGAAAAAGAAAAGCTTTTTGGATATATATTTTATTTGACAGTGTTTTAGAATATCATACAGTAAACAAGATTTCTGTAAAAGTTAATTTATCCATAGTGGTGCGTTTCATAAAAATAGTTGCTCACTTACAGTCTTTCTGTGACTATTAATACATGGAATTATATTTATAGAGATACAGCTGTACAGGGTAAAGTCTCAGCTAACACTACACAGAAATATTATTTGGGATGGGGCTGAGATGATGTGCTGTCTCACGGTTATGGATTACAGCCGCATAAAGCAATGGCTGCACGAGTAGTAGCACTGAACTGTGAAAATTAGAGTTTCTGCAAGCGTAATCTCAATTTTTTTTTCCTTTTGTAACACATGAAAAATAAATGTCGGAGGATACAGTACCAGGACGTGCAGCTACACTACAGAAGCATTGTCCAGAACCAGCTTCAATAAATTAATGGCAAACTAGACTGGATTTCTAGCCCAGGGGAGAAACACTAATTGAGATTAAACCAAGAGGATTATAAACTGCTACATGTGTTTGTGCTTTTGTTTATGATGGATGGATTTCATTTTTGGAAACTGCTTTGACAAGCTGCAAGACCCTCCCCACGAGGCTTCCAGCCACACTTGTCAGACAGCAAAGCTACTCCTTTGTCAGGTGGAAATGACATCAAGAGGGCTCAGGTTCCTGCACTTAGGAAGAGAGAGACGGGCGGGGGTGGGAGAGGCTGCTGTGTGTGACCTCCCCGACCAGGAGGGGCCCGTTTGGGCACCCCAGCTCTGGCTAGCAGCAGCCACAAGAAGAGGGAAGCCCCGTGTGTACAGAGCGTATTAAAGACGCTGCCTGAAGACACATTTTGCCTTTTCCTTTGTGTAGCGACATTAAACACAGAGGAAGAAGTAACTGACGCTGAGGGGTTAGGAAGACCCCCTGATGCAGCAGGGAGAAAGACAGCCTTCGCGAATCACTAGGGGGTCAGGTGGAGAGCCGCGGAGATAATCTGGGGTTGCTCAGGAGGTAAAACACCTAGCAAAGAGTTCAGGACCCAAAGCAAATGGAAACCAAAGGTGGAAGACACAGGAAAGAAAGTCGAGCAGAAAGGAAGGCTAAGTGGACTCATGTTCCTTAATGAAAATAAATTAGTTACTATAGTGACCTTTTAATATTAGAGGTTCATTCTAATCTTAGATAGAGGACAAAGAGTGTACTCGGCCTCTCTCCTGTCATAGTGCAAAGGAAGCGACGGCCAGGGCTTGAGGGCAGCTCGCGGGGGCAAGGCCTGTTCATAATGGGGCCGCAGCGTTGCCAATCTTGATTCTACAGATTGTGGCCTTTCGGTTACAAAACTGATATTTCACAGGAAAATCAATGAAAAGCTATGAGCTAAACTGCAAAATTCAGACTCATGGCAAACTGTTCCCTAGGACACAATTTTTAAAACCTGTTTTTCCTACCACTGAAGATGTACAGAAATATGACTGGATCACAGGAATGGCAGTAGAAATGGCGTCACACCAATGGGCTCACTAGGTTGCCACCTGGTCCTGCGGAGGCCGGGTGCATGGAGAGACGTCGGGCGAACAGTTCCTGGTGTTTCAGAGAAACCCTTTCACCCCCGTCTAGATATGTCAAGGACAATGTATATACAATGCTTTAGATCGATTAAAAGATATAATCTTGTCTCAGTTTCCGCTTGCTCCGTGCAGTTTGAATTTTAAGGCGATATTCCAGTTCGTGATTGCGCTAGCTCATCGGTTTCGGTGCAGTCTGACGGCGTTCAAACCGTTTCTTCATGCAGCGGGGACCGATGCCTTCTTTTGGCCCAAGCGGCGCTGCACTGTCTCTGTGGTGCTCCGCGACAGCATTTGCTTCTCCCGCAGCGGCCCAGGCCCCGGCAGCCGGGCCTCGCGGAAGATGCGTGCGACAGTGACAATAAATAAAACGCCGAGCGGAGCTCGGGGGCTGGGGACCCTCACCGGCTGGACGCCGGGGCGCCCGGCTGGAGCGCGCCCTGCAGCCGGTCGGAGCCCGGCACTTTCCAGGGCCCAGGCGCCAGGGCGGCCCTGCGTGACCCCAAGCCCGACCCCGGGGCGCCCCCCTGCGGCCGCGGGCCGGGTGCAGGCCGGGGCCCTTCCTTCCCGCCCGACGCCTCCTCCTGCCTCGGCCGCCCGGTGCCCTCGCTCTGCTCCCCGAGGCGCTGCTTCTTTTGGCCGCCGGCCGGGAGCTCCTTTGGTTTCCTAACGTCGTGTTCCCTTTTGACGTCCCAAGCCGGATCAGGGCTCTTCGGGTGGGCAGGGTCGGAGGGTGGGGCGGGATGCGGTGGCGAGGATGGAGAGAGGAGCTCCTCAAGCGAGACGCCTATTTCCGGCAGACCTGGGCCGGCGGCGGTGGTAGCGCTCCGGAAGCCGGGTTCGTCTGCGGACACGGAACACAGAGTTAGGGGGCGCGCGAGCTCAGCCTGCACCCCGCGGCCTCCCAGGGACTCCGCAGCCGACCCCAAATCCCTAGTTGCCCCTTGTACCCCGCGGCTGCCTCCTGCACCCCGGGAGCCCCCCTCTCCGGCAAGTAGCTGGCTGAGCCCTGGGTTGGGATACCCATACTTCTGAACCCGTCGGAGGTCCCTGCAGAGCCCTAGCCCCAGTTAAGCCAAGGCGTCCCAATGGTGACAGCATTCTGCACCCCGACTCCAGGACGCGTGGACCAACGGTTCTCAAACTCGGGTGGAAAGTACCTGGGGGCTGGCTGAGGTCCCACAGTAAAGGGCCCCGGGACCACCACTGGGTGCCTCTGGGAAGAAGGTGAGGTTTGAGAAACATCGCAGCCTTCCTCCTCCTGCTGGAGGCGGGAATGTCCCCACCACTGGGTGTCACTCAAAGCCTGAGTCTTAGCTAAATGCATCTAAAAACCGTCCTTGTCTTGCCTTAAAACAAAATCATTGTCTTTAATTCTTTTTGCATTTCTAACATGGAAGGCCCCAGACTAAGATAAATGATTCTTTCTAGAAAATCTAATTTCAACATTTATTTAGGATTTCAACTCTGTCTGCTCCAGAAAGGTTGAAGACAATTTACAACATCAAAACAGAATGATAAACATGAGTGTTTTCCCTCTGTCCCTCCCTCCGTTCCTCATTCCTTCCCTCCCTCCCTCCCTCCTTCCTTCCTCTCTCTCTCTCTCTCTGTCTCTCTCTGTCTCTCTCTCTCTCTCTCTCTCTCTCTCTCTCTCTCTCTCTCTCTCTCTCAGCAACCTCTGCTCAACAGCTGAATAGGGGACAGATGTGTTAGGAGTCCAGAAGAGTTAGTTCCTGCCGTGAGCGAAAGTGTTACTCTTGAGTTTCAGGCCAGTGGGTGAAATGAAAGCAAGGAAATTCACAGCCAACCCTTGCTCTCTGTGAGGGATACGTCTGGTGCCCTCTGGAGAACCTCACATTTTGTCCAGCCATGCTAGGGTGTCATGAGGGGCCACCAAGGAAGGCACATGGGTACCTGGGTTAGGAGATGGAGCCACCCTTGTTAGCCAAGATTCACCCTGGTCCCAGGGGATGAAACTGGAATTCCTGGCCTCTGGAGCCTGGACACAGACCTGGGGGACCTTGGATGTCAGCCCTGAATGTCAAGGGTCTGTTTTGTTTTAAAGTTGGGGATTTTTCTGTGGTAACTCTGACGCAGAGTATAAAGAGGTAGGAAGAGGAAGAGGGAGAAATTTTTCCAGTTTTCCAGCTGTTATGGGCATCTTTAGAAAATCACCTTAGTTACAAAGATGCCTCTCCTTCCATGTGAATTTGAGTAGGATATTTGGGGCACCTTGCTATTTTCTTTCTTTCTGCAGATGGATGCCCACTATCATTTTCATGTAGTAATAGAAAATCCTAGACAAGCATCAGAAGATGGAGGCTCTCAGAGTGCTTTTGACACTTATTTACCAGCTGTGCCATTCTGGACTAAGCCCACCATAGCCCTGAGCCTCATGCCTTCCATTATAAGCCAGGGACACAATGTCTAATCACATGGATGTGAGACAAACACTTTGGAAGCCCAGGGTGATGGTCCGCAGAGAGCAGAGTTACACTTCTCCTCTGTGCCTGGGGCTGCCTCCTCATGGGCTGGGGTCCTGCTGGCTTGACACTGCTGCTGAGGTTCTGAGTTAGTGCCAGGGGTCAGCACCCCTGAGCACCATGATTCCTGGGACACTCTGGAGGATCTGAGGGGTTGGTTAGTTTGTCTGCAGTGAATTCCAAGGCAAACTCCCAGACAAGGGGCAGGGTGGCACCTCTACCCGTCTAGGAAGATCTTGCCTTAAAGAATCAGAGGTGGGCCCAGAAAGGCCCAGCCAACCTCTGCCTTAGACCACTAGAATGGTGGTTCTCATTTTAATAGCTCTTTTCTTCACCATTACACCCCATATGGTATAGTCAGCTAGCTGCCCTTAAATTACTTCTGAGACCCAGGGAGAGGGCTGACATTATTCACCCCATTTCCTGGGGAACTAAAGCAGAGAGAGAGGTTGAATAATGTGGCCAAGACTACACCATGGCTAGTCAGGAGCAAAGCTTGGGGGTTTCCTTTCTGTTTTTACTTACTGAAAAAACTATCCCAAGGTGTAGATAGATGGGATCAAAGCATGTGAAACAGTCAGGCTTAGGACTGTTGGCAACCAGAGCTGGACCCCCTCACCAGACATAACCCTTAGCAGGATTCCTGGTTGTCTGACCCCCTGCCCATCCCCCCTCCAGGTGTCTGTGTGGAACCCGTGAGCCCTGGAGCATGGAGAACCCTACAGCTCCTGTGGGAGGCCATGATTCATGATTCTCTGGCCTGCAGGGACCTCACACTCTTCCCTTCAACTCTTCCCTGCCCTAAGCGCTTTGCTGTACCATAAACCAGACGGTGAATTTACTCTCAAGTACAAAGGGCTCCATCTCATTATAAAAAGATTTCTCAAGAGTTTGTTTTCAGATCATTAAATGCTCAACAGTGGGAGAAACTAAGAGTTACAATGTCCTGAGGCATCACCCTTTCAGAATATTAACCAGAAACTAAATCCAGCTACATCCTCAAGCTACCACCAAGCAGACCTTGTTGCGTAGTTGAATTGTTTTCATTTTTGTGCTGAGGAGCCCTCTAGTTCCATGCTGGGCCTGCAGGGTGCACAGCCCTTAGCATGCAGGCTGTACCCCAACCTGCTGTGCTTCCCCAAGGGAACCTAGAGTTGTGGACAGGAAGAGAGAGCCCTTCTCTAGGACTTCAGATGCAGCTCTGATTCCTTCAGCCTGTGTGTCCATTTTCTTCTTCTATCCTCCCTTCTCCCTCTTTTCCTCTCTTGCTGTCTGCTCCTGGGCCCTGGCTCAGAGGTGAGGAGGAGGCTGAGGTGCTCCGGGTCTCTCCAGCTGAGATGCTAATCTCAAATTAGAAGCTCTGGATCTGTCCTACCAGGAAGCACTCAGCCACTCCTAGCCTGCTGGGGGTTTCACAATCCCTTTGTCTAGTATCTGCAGGCTGAAAGCAAAAGGAACACGTTTCCACTTGGACCAGCTTCCTCAGCTGCCCCTCCAGGCCCTGTGCCCAAACAACTCTCCTCAAGGCTATGACCTTTCAGTCATGAAATCCCGAGGGCAGGTCTCTGTGTTCATCTCAGTCCTTGTCCTCCACCTCTTACATAACCCAGGGCTTCCGAAACAGTGGGAAGGTTGGTTCAGGGGACAGCCTGCTCCCCTGCCCAGCTCTGCGCCCTGCCTCTCTGGTTTGGCCTCAGGAGTTTTCTTTCTCCAGTCTCCCCCGGGGTATCCCACGTATCCTTGCTGCTTTCATGCAAAGGTCATGGCTCTGTGGTGCACCCACCTGCCCAGGCCATCTCTGCCCCATAGCTCCCTGCAGTTTCTGACAAGCCGCAAATAGAAACTGTTGCTCCCTGACGGTGACCTGGAGTCATCCCTGGTTCCTTACTCTCCCTCACTTTACAAACCCAGTGTCCCTGTTCTCTTGAGTCTTATTTCCAAATATACGTGGATGCCAACAACTTATCTTCATCTTTGCTTTCTTTTCCTTTTTTCATTACTGAGCCTTTGCGCTGAGCTACATCTCACTAAGTCACTCAGTGGCCCGCCGCTTGATCCTCCTGCCTCAGCCACCCAGAGTGCTGGTATTACAGGTCTGCCCCACCAGGCCTGGTGATCTTCCCCTTCACTTTCACTACAATGGTGCAAGATGCAGGGCTGCCCACAGGGAGAGGCAACGTGTGGGCGCTAGGGTCAGTCACAGGTGAAAAATAGGCCCTTGGGTAGAACAGCCTTCTAAGCCCTCAGGGTGAGGCTTGAAGACAAACAGTCTAAAAAGGAGCCTTGGTGCCTTGGTGCTGTTCAGAAAGAAGTAGAGCGGAATATGGAGTGCGCCCCCTCCCGGGCCTGCCCAGCCTCCAGCTCACTGCCTCAGAGGCTGTTCACCCCCTCAGTGACTCTCCCCGCAGGGCCCACGATGATCTTTATGAGATAAAATTAAATCTTGCCATTTCTCACTTCCACCTCTCACATTAAAGAGGGTTCCCACCGCTCTCACATTAAAGTCCAAAATTATTAACAGCCTACAAAAGCATATGGGTCCAGCACCTGCAGTTCAGGTCCTTCAGTCCCCGACTCCCTGCGTGTCCCCCTGCTGCAGGACTCCCCCAGCGACTCAGCCTCCTTGGGGCTCTTGATGTCACCCTCGGAGAGCTTCAAGCTGTGGCAGGTTCTCTGCCCTACTCAACAGCTTCCTGTTTGGGTTTTCTCACAGTATTGAAAACTCACACATTGGCTTTGGTAATGTCTCAGCATACAGTGCGACCCGGAAGCTCCACGAGGACAACCACACTGGCCTTGTCTGTCACGTGTCCCTAACACCCAGCAGGGGGCCTGACCCACAAAGAAGCGCTCTGTGGATACTGGATGAGTGAATAAATCCAACCTGCCAATAGACAGGGAAGACCTGTCACCCAATGCCTACTTGAGGAAACACTTCAGGGCAAAAGATTTTCCTCTAAGTAGGATCTGTCAAAAACAGATTTGGGAATGTGACCTTCATCAGTTTTGAGAGGAAAGAAGGGGTGAAATGGTAATGCACATTTAATGGGGTGGGAGGGAAGATAGCTGAGTTTGGGAGGTGGCGAAGGAGGAAGGTGGAGCAAGGGAGCCCTGGGGCAGTTTGCAGCCTTGCTTGGGCAAAGGATAGGAGGGAGGGCCAAGCTGCAGGTCCAAAGGCTACGGTCCTCTGTGGTTGCTGATGTTTTCCCTTTTTCTGTAGCATCAACTGAGGATCTCAAGGCTCTGCTTAAAGGAGCTCTGTCCCCGAGGGTCATTAACTGCTGTGCCAGGGAATGTTCCTGGGACCCATGAGGAAAACAGGCTGTAGGAGTCCTGTACTCCACTGTGTGTGGAGCAGTTC